CATCAGTCTGGACCTGTGTAGGCAAATGAAGGAGAAGCACTTTAAAGTCAGGAAGAAGAAAGTATATTTAACATTTAGGATTATCAACCACTGCTGATTTTCCACTTAAATATTTCATCTGAAAGAAATACGATTATTACTATCATTTAAAGAGTAGCACTTTACTAATAAGCTCTTGGTGTATCTTTGAGGTGGATTTCAGATTCAAAATAGACTGACCCTATATCACACTGCTGACTTGTTTACTCAGTGTTTGTCAATAACATAGAGGCTTCACCCAGGAGATTTGCTGGGTTGTGATTACCTGGAACCCAGGGGTGATTCCAGGTTTTGTGAGGCTTGAACCTTATCTAATTTGAGAAATCCCCTCTGATAAAAACACACAAACTTATGAATCCAAAAACCGCCAAAAGGGCCCCCAAAAAGGGCCCCTCCCAGGATGTTGGAAGGTGCCAGAGCAAGTGAGGAGCCCTGCAGCTTAGGCTCCATTCAATTCATGATAAATCCACCACAGCTGGGGCCTTTTTACAAACTTCTGCAATGCTGGGAAAAATATTGCTTCAACTTGTGAACACTCCAGAACTGCGTTGTGTAGGTCATGAAATTACTGGCATCTTCCTTTGGCAACTGGCCTTTGGAAAGAGATGCAATAGGCTTATATCTCACTACAGCAAATTAGCTTTGTCTATTAGAAAGATTTGACCCAAAACAAAGGAGCGCAGCCCCCAACACATGCTTGGTGTACTGTGACCGTTGTGCCAATCTCTGAAAGTAACTGTGAACTAGTTGGAGGGGTACAGCTCTATTCAGATCCCCTAATAGGAGCATTAATTTCTAACACCAGCTAGCTCTGGTTTTTTCATCACCATGAAGCAAATGCCTTTTTCTGTTTTGTAAGGTTAACACACAAACTCGAGATAAACAAGTTGGTGCCTCCTCCCTTGTGAGTCTTTCCTAACCCACGCCCCAGTTCTTGTGCTGTCCCTTCCCCTACCTTGTCACCCTGCTGTATAGACCCCAGTATGGCTCTCATGTTTTCTCATTGGCATCCCTCTTTCTCCTTCTGATATGAAAGCCTCTTGGAGACAAAGAGGCTTTGTCCTATTCCAATTTATACCCCCAGCACTTAGTATCATACCTGGCACACAGCAGGCATGGCACTCAGTAATTTTTATCAATGTGATTCCATGGTTTTTTTTTTGTTTGTTTCTGGTTTTTTTTTTTGGTGTTGCCTACATAGAGTGAAACTTGGGTTCTTATGAGGGACTCTCAGTGTTTTAAAATGTTCAGTAAAGATGGCGAGTTTAAGACATTTGTATTGACGCCGCCTAAACCTCTTGGTGGAGGGATCTAATGAGTCTGCCCTCTGGTGTGAGGGCAAACAAGAAACAGACCCATAGTGTTCTTCCCTAAGTGAGGCATCAACAAATTAA